CTCTCTCTCTCCTCCTCTCTCTCTCTCTCTTTGCACAGTGATAATATTCTATTTATACAGAAAAAAAAAATTTGAATGATTTTCATATAATCATTATCATGATCTAATTTGATAAATATCACTTATCATGATTAATATTCTATTCATACAGAAAAATATATTTGCATATCATTATCATGATTTAATTTGATAAATGTCACTTATCATGATTAACATTCTATTCATACAGAAAAATATATTTTCATATCATTATCATGATTTAATTTGATAAATGTTAAATTAGCATATAACAACATATTCAATTATGTTTTCTTTTTTTTTCTTTTTTTCTTTATCACAAGACTTCACGTTTATTTGCAATAAGCATTGCTATATTTTTCTAATTAATTAATTTCTGCTAATTATATAATTAATTTCATAATTTTCTTTGGTTTCTTTTCTTATGCAAAATACCGAAATGATTGTATTATTTTCATAATTTTTCATTATAAAACTATACAATTTCTAAGTTATAATTTGATGAAAAAATTATAGCATAAAATGAGTAAAAGAAAAAAATTTAAAAAAAAAAAATTCAATAAAAATTTTAGCAAACTTTTTTATCAATAAAATGTTATTGTTAATTTTAGGGAATAAAAAAATCATTTAATAATGTTATCAAAGCAAATATTGGTGATGCTCATGCAATGGGTCAAAAACCGATTAGTTTTATTCGTCAGGTTTGAAATTTTTCATTTTTATACTTTCTCTTACAAATTATTTTTCATTGAAACTATCTAAATTAATTCAATCTCTTACCGTAATCATTTTATCAAATAAAATTAATGATAATTTAATGATTGTCAATTATTCCATTTAATCTTTTCATTCTTAGGCCTTTTTTTTTCTCCCTCCTCCATTTTTCACCTTTTCGTATTTATTAATAAATATTTTAATATCTTTTTTTTTATTTTTTAAAGGATTAAGAAAATTTTGATTACTTTTATAATGTAAATTTAAATTAATCGTAGAATTTAGGTAATGAATTAATTAAATTTTTCGACCCATTAATAAGCCAACGTAATTTAATCAGTTTATTTCATTATTTAATTATTTTGATGATATTTATTAACGGATAATGTTGATGGTTTAAAAAAAAAAAAAAAAAAAGAAAAGGATAAATATTGTTGATGAATGTTTCTGAAAAGTTGCCAATTATGCATGCAGCATGCATTTTAAGTAATTTAATATGCAGGTTTTGGCATGTGTAAGTGATCCATCGTTAATAAATTCTGTCAATTATCCATCAGATGTTAAACAGCGTGCAGAATTGCTACTCAGTTATTGCGGTGGACATAGTATTGGTGCTTATAGGTGATTAAATTTGATTATTATTATTTAATTATGTTTATTGTCATGAATTATTGGAAAAACATTGGTTAAAATTTGAAATATTTGAAAAATATGAACAAATAATATATCATATAATTTATTATTGAAAGAGATCAATTTAAGATAGAATAATTTATTTAGCATATTATTAGCATTTAGAACAACGATTCATAACCGGCGATCCGCAGATTGATCCGCACGTACTAAAATGTAATCCGCAAAAGGCAACAGTACCATACAATGAATAGAAAATTATTAAGAGCCAAAAAAAACTTAATACATTAAAAATATTTCAATTGAAGTTTCACAACCAGCGGTCCGCAGACTGATCCGCACGTACTAAAATGTAATCCGCAAAAGGCAACAGTACCATACAATGAATAGAAAATTATTAAGAGCCAAAAAATAACTTTATTCTATATGGTTATAACTTTTTTTCCCATATTCTTTAATGTTAATCTAAGTGTAATTAATACATTAAAATTAAATTAATTAATACATTATTACATTAATACATTAAATTAATTTAATACATTAATACAAATTAAATTAAATGCCTTAATACAATAATATAAATTGAATTAAACTAATACATTAATGCATTAAAATCAAAATTAATAAATTTATTATTCTTGTATCTTATAATCTATGTTAGAAAATGAAAAAAAAAAAACGAACAAAATAATTCTTTGATAAAAGAAAATATTTGATAAAACTATTAAATCTAAAATGAATCATTAAATTTTTCTACAAAAAAAAAATTAAAATTTCAAATTTTTTAGTCTAAAATTTTAATAAAATTTCAAATTTTTAGTCATAGTAATGGTATTGAAATTATTCGAAAACATGTAGCAGAATATATTACTCATCGTGATAATGGTATACCATCAGATCCTCAACATATACTTTTATCTGCTGGAGCATCAGAAAGTATACGTGTATGAATTTTAATTATTACTATAAACCTTTTTAAAAAAAAATCAATTGAAATTACAAAAAAAAAATTTCTTTATTTTTTTCTCTCTTTAACAAATAACCTTTTTTTTCTGTTAAATGCAAATGAAAAAGTAAACAAATGCAAATTTATGATTATATAATAGTTTTAAAAAAAAAAAAAAGATCACTTTGTTGAAAATTTATAGTTTAGAAAAAAAAAAATGACATTAAGTTTTTTTTTCTTTTTTTTTTTTAGCTAAATCAAAAAAAACAAATGTTTACATTCGATTTTTTAAATCACAAATTTTTGCATATTTTTCATTATTTCATTTATTTCGCATATTTTATTTCAAACAATCTCATAACTATAATAGTTTTAATTTTTCAATTAAATTTCATTTATAATTTCTATTTGTAAAATTTCATTTCATTCTAAAAATTCTTCTTTCCCCCTTTTTTTTTTCTAATTTATGCAAATGTAATAAATGTGACAAATGTTGAAATCCGTTTGTTTTTTGTGACAAATATTGAAATTCGTTTGTTGTTTTTTTTATGCAAATGTAACAAATGTGACAAATGTTGAAACTCGTTCTTTTTTTTTTTTTTTGTAATTTTATTTCAGAATATTTTAAAATTATTCATTGATAAAGATGGTAGAAATAGAAAAAAGGGTGTGATGATACCCATTCCACAATATCCTCTCTATTCTGCATCAATTGTTGAATTTGGTCTTGGATTGGTTAGTTAATGATAATTTGAAATTATAAAAAAAAGATTCGTAGAAAATAATCGATATAAGATTATATAATATTTACATAATTTTTATATTAATTAAATTTTGTAAATGAAAATTTAAAAATTTATCAAAATTATCATTAATTATTATTATTAAAATAATTATTTTAAATATAATATTGCTAAGGTAGGCTATTATTTGGATGAAAGTAATAATTGGGCATTAAATATTGATGAACTTGAACATGCTTACAAGGAATCTTTAAATCAATTTAATACTCGAGTACTTTGTGTTATTAATCCTGGTAATCCAACAGGTATGCATTAATTTATTATCTGTTTTTAAAATTAAATCTTAATTGTTAATTGCTTAGTAAAATTTGAAAATTTTCATTTTTATTTATCTTTAATTTTCTTTTTTTTTTTTTCAAAGATATGAATGATATAAATGAATAAAGGATAACTAGTTAGTTATTCATTATGAAATAGATAAATTAGTTATTCATTATGAAATAGATAAATTAGTTATTCATTATGAAATAGATAAATTAGTTATTCATTATG